ACACAGGCTGCATCTACACACTCCGACAGAAACGGGGAACGGCGCGCAGGGGGGTCTCAGGCGCTCTCGGGGTCTTTCTTGTCTTTCTTGCCCTCCCCCCCCTCGAAGCCATCACCGCCATCGCTGTTGTCGCGGCGACGCTTGCGGCTGTTGCGCACGCTGAAGCGGGGGTTCATCTGGGGGAGGGGGTCCATGCCCAGGACCTTGTAGATCTGCCGGAATGCCAGGAGCCTCAGGGCGAACTGGAGAAACGGAGGGGTTGGGGGGGGGGGTTAGACCTGAAACTGCAGGTAGGCTATGGAGAAATCTACGAGGAGAAAAATATCTGAAGAAAATAGAATATCTAATGATGCCCGGGCAGATTCATTTGCATTTACCTCTGACGAGAGGGGCTTCATTTGCCTAAATTTGTGGTGAGAAACTAGGCGCCACAACAGATCAAATGTCTTAAGACATTTCCAAATTAAACACACTGCCTTTGCTGAAAAATACCCAGAGTCTTTTCTTCATTTTAGATGCTCTGTGTGTGTTTTTTTTTCTGTGAAAACCGGGTCCCAGTGGCTCTCTGCGTGTTAAAGGTTGCCGACCTGCTGGCGTCCATGCCCTGGAAAGCTTTTGTACCTGGCTCTGTATGCACCGGACTCATTTGGAGTTTGTTTTTGACTGCATCACAGTGAACTGGACAGTGATGGGTTTAAATTGGGCCGCGTCCTTAGCGTGTCTGGAGATGAGATTTGTTAGTTGTGGCGCGTACCTGTGCGCTGGATGTGATGTCCTCTCTCTGTTGCTCTCCCATAGAGGCCAGGGTGTCTATGGGCCTCTTTTCACACGGATCCAACAATCCTGGTCCACCTGTTGAAGTAAAAAACAAACAAACAAAGGTTTTAAACCAGCTGAATATCCAGAATGTTTCATGTGCTGTGATAATTCCCTGTAAAAGACGGAAGGCTGACAGCTCAGGGTATTATTACAGTTAGCTGGCTGTAAATGGAGCTTTTCCAGTAAGCTGGCCACTCAACCAGCCATACCAGGATCGTCTGGTGCCGGCTGGTGAAACACAAGTCCTAATAAAAAGACTCCCTGTGAGCCCCGTTAGCAATTGGTGGCTCTCACCCTCAAACCTTAACCTTCCCCCATGTGGACGAGCGGCTGGGATACAGAAGCCTTTTCTCTGCCGTGTACACCAGATGCAGGTTTAGGATTATTTCAATGCTTTGACCGGTTTTCAAGGCCAAAAACAAATCCAACCCTATGCTTTGAGAGGCTGCTTTTACCTTCCTGCTGTTCTTTATCAACAGTGTGAAGCGACACCTGTCTGAGCTGGGGGCAGTTTATGGAACTATTGGTGCGACTGAAGGGGAAGAAAAGAAAAAAAGCCTTACCAGAGAGTAAAATCCCAGAAGAGATGCACTCAAAGACGCGTCTGAGGGCGTCGCCCGGGCTGAGGGGGGCGGCGGCGCTACTGATGGCCTTCTCCACCAGCAGCTCCATGGCCTGGACACACAACCAGCACAAGTGACCGGCCAGCTCCTCAGGACGCGCTTCGGAGCCACCCTAGGCTGTGAGCTGGACCCACACCCCCCACCACCACCCCGCCCTGCTCCCTCACAGTGAAATGACTTTCGGGAAATGGCAGATGACGAGAAGAGAAGCCCCCATCCAAGCCTGAACCTATGGGAAGTGTTCCATTAATCTGGAGGCGTTGAGCCTGCTGTCTGCACTTTCGATTCGATACCGATCCCGGCCTATCAGAGCTTGTATTCAAGTTTAAAGTTATTTATCTACTTGCTTAGTTGTCAGACTCATGTTGAACAGGGATTTACTCTGATAACAACATAATGGTTAGGACACAGATCTGTGAGTTAGCAGATGCTAATGCTAATGCTTGTGAGGGATCGGACTTAAACATCCAAATATCGGCGGCTGATCGGACAAGCCTAGTCCCAATAGAGATAAAAAAAGCTGACCGACCCGTGAAGTCGTTTTTGATGAGACCAAAAACGAGGGAGGGCCATGAGGAACCACATCAGTGGTGGGCCTTCGTAACAAAGAATTAATGCGGTAAGATGTTTGCTGCGTTTCAAAAAGCGGTGCGGTTCATATGAGGCTTATCGAGTCATGCCACTCCCTGGCCAATCGGTGCCCGGCATTCTGCCACTGGCCCCACTCTGCCCGCTTGGACTCCTGGTTAGGTGCTAAAACTAAAACTATTAGGGGGGAGCCGGCTCCTGTAAGGGAAACGAGGGTAAACTGGACCCGGGTTATCTGACTGGGTGAAGAGGGAAATGCAGAGAGAAGGGCTTCAAACAAACAAAAGAGAAACCCGGCCTGCTCACACGGCACACTTACCCATCCCGGAAAAGACGACCACGTGGGAACCCGCTGACAGAGGTCTCTCAGTATCCGGATGGCGATCACGCAGGACTGAAGTCCGTTGGCTCTAGCCTTTTGACGCAATAGAGTTAGATTTATGCACCCACCCCGGAAGGGGACAAGAGGAGGACCAAACAGGTGAATGATTTCCAGCACAGAGGTCCAAACACTACTGTGTATAATGGAAGCTCAGGTGTCGTTTGGTGTGAATAAGCCATAACAGTTTGCAAACAGCTGCCATTCCCAGTAGTCTTGTACCTCAGTTAGTAGGGGAGTTCAAAGTTTGCAAGATGCACAAGAAATGCAGACCTTTCTTGCCATCTTCTAAACCCTGACCCCATATTTATCAAGGTATCTCACAAACAGGGACTGAGAAGTAACAGTCCACCAGAAGGGGAGAGTGTAGGGACTGAAAGAGCAAAGGAAATCTGACCCACTTTGCCCCTGATTTTGCCCAAGAAGCAGAATCAGAGGAAATCACTCAGACACTCCCTTTTCTCTCAGTCCCCATGCTACAAAAAGAACGAAAACAATATAAACGTTGGAAATAGAGGCACTTGGAGCTAGTTATTGTGCAGCCTTATGGAGTTCATGTGGATATAGCATTACTTCTGAGAGTCAATAGGGAATACAAGGATGCCAAATCTTTATAAAAAAAGATAAATTCAAATGAAATCAGGTTCACAGTAAAGGTGATCAATCGTTCTAATGGGTGGCATCCTTATAGAATACATATGTCGTTTCAAATGCCAATAGTTGTTATTTTTCTCCAGATTACAAAATAAAGACCAAATGTGCAAAAAACAAAGAAATGAGTCAACAAATGATGCATCTCATAAGGCTACAATAAGAAAGTAAAATGATGTTCCGAACCTGGAACCACTTAGCGTGGCGCAGAGCAGCCAGAGCGTCAAGGCATTTTTGCCTGTCCAAGACGTCCGCTGGGTCTTTCACCATACCCGAGGTTACATCTAAAAATGGATTTCAAGTGTCAACATGAGGATGAGGAATGGGTGTTTGACCAGGTCAGCGAGGCTGCCAGAAGGACAGAGACATTGCCACACATACCATTTTTCTCTTTCCATGACAACCGCAAGATAGTTCCATTTTTTTGGTTGTTTTTTTTTTTTTTCCTAAGTCTTTTGGTTGAAATGAAAAACATTAACAACCTGCCGCCACAAATGAACATAAAAAAACAAAGTAGCGTGGAGTCATCCTCTTTAAATGACTGGACAATGAGGAAGGCACACGTGAGGATCGGGCTGAGTTGGGTTTCCGCCAGTCAGAAATAGGCCAACGACATTTTATCAGGTAACTATCAGGACTTCTGCAGATACACTTGATTTTCTGGAGACAGTCTTTGCTCAATGTGTTAATGACAAAGCTCCCAGGCCACTGATCGTTACTGTGGACACAAAGGATGACGAGAAAGTGGAAGGGACCTGATAAAAAAGTGGCATGGCAATAGTAGGTGTGGCAAAGTGGTTCAGATGAGAGAAAACCTTGGTCAAAAATCCTTCCGAGACTGTTGGGTCCCTACGGAGCCTCTGAATGGGAGAGATCTACACGTGTCTGGTGTGTGTGAGTGTGTGTATGCGGAGGATACCTATGCCTTTGTGTTCAAGTGCATAAGTACACAACCACAAATCAGAACAACTTGGTACTTCTTTATGATGGAGGAAGGGGCCGGCCTGTTTTCAATCCCTCCTTTGTTTTTGTAGAGCTCGACGGGTGGATCTGATCGGACGAGGCTTTTTGAAAAGCCTCGATAGACTGCAGGCGGTATAGAGAAGCTGAGGAAGGAGCCGACTCTCTGGGCCTGTCTGAAGGGCCTAGACCTCCTCCCTAAGCCCCACCTTCTACATGCATCCCCAGCCAGCGTCCATTTACCAGCTCACCGGCATCAGTTAATGAGCTATTTTGGCTTTTCTGACCTTTATATCAACCCCTAAAAGGTGGACGCTTTGTTTGGAAGCTATGTTTGTCCAGCTTAGGCTCTGGTTTCTTGCCTTCAGATTCCTAGAAAATCCCTTTTTTTCCCCAGGAGAGCTGCTTTGACATATTTGAAGGACTTTTCTGCACACCGAGTTGACAAACGTGTCCTGTAGAGGCAGCTGGCCCTGCTCTCCTGTCCAAACTCTATCTGGAACATGTTGCAGACAGATTCACTTCCAAAAAGGAAATCTGACATCTCCGGAGTCTACGGTCTGTAAAAATCAGGAACTGAGGAGCTGACCGGCCATCGTCCATAGTATCCAACTTTGTTCCAACTTGGGGTTGTGTTCCTGTGTGTGTGTGTATGTGTGTGTGTGCATACGTGTTCTGTTGGACTGAAATATGTGAACTGCTACAAATATGAAAAGGGAGGAAGCGATGGTTGCTGAAGAGAATATAATAAATGACAAATACCAGAAAACAAAAAGTGTTAGATATCACTGCATGCACACCTAACATGAGTAGGTGGGAATAAGACCCCAGCAGCCACTGCTTCTGAAAAGCTGTGCTCAGGTGCAACCAAAGATTCCTCTGTGGTAACCTCCTTTCCAGAACTACGGACAATACTCCCCTAAGAATCATTTGGAACAATCAGAATCTCTCTGGAGTCAATCGATTCAAGAGAAATGCTCTGTGGTTGTGTCTTCTTTCCAATGTGGGTCACATCAGACAGCACTAACTCATTCAGTCATGCTTGGACTTTTAGCTTAAACAGACTGGTATTGTTAGCCAAATTTGGAATCCTATGTGTGTAAAAGGAGGAATCTGTCAACTCAGGGGAGCACTTTGTAAGAGGGGACTAAGCATGGTGAATTGTTCACCGGTACACAAAAGAAATATTTGTTTCCTGTGGGAAATGACAAGCTTTTATCATCAAATCCTGATTTGAGAGGACTGTTGAGTTCAAGCACTTTTACAGTAAAATTACTGCAAATTAAACTTGATGCATCGCCTGTTTCTACTTTTCGTTTAGCAGAAAATGCCTTTTTTAAAATCTCATTTTAAAACGGTATAGAAAAAAGGATGAGGTGAAGATCTTTCATTGGTTGTAGTCAACAATATAAGTGACTCCTGGAACACAGGAAACAAAATGGAGTCTCACCTGGGAATAACTAGACTTAACACAATGCAAACACTGATCATGCTTTGTCCAAAGGATGAAATATAGCATTTGAGAGGTAGGAGTTATAGAACAAAAGGTGGAAGAGCAATACTGCTGGCACTGGCCTCTTCTTCATTACATGTGCCCTACAGAATAGGAAAGAATATCAATAGGGAAAATAACTAAGTTGGGGGTCTCTCATGGGCTTTTTGGACCAAATAAAAAAGGTCATTTCGATATAGCGCAAGATAAGATTGAATTAAAAAACAGCACAACAAAAATAAAAAACTAAAGGTGATCTCGCTTGTTTGAATTAAGATGCTGGACTGTGCAAACCCTGAGGGAAAAAGCCCACAACTGTAGTTATTCGCTATGAGAAACTTTTGCTGTCTAGACTTCCTCTCATTTCATCCACTGAGTGCCATCTGCTCAGACAGCCCAATTTAAAACCAAATGAAGGGGCCGTGGTGTGCCAGCAGCGCTCTGCTCTTAAGGGTCTCAACCCACATTCTGGAACTGATTTATCAAGAGATAGCAAAAGACAAGAAAGAGGGGACAAAGGAATAGGGCTGTGGTGGGTCTCCCAACCTCCTTCACCGCTATTTTCCTCTCTGATGACAGGTGAGGTCAGCGTGATGGTCACTTGCATCTTTGGCTCGCTGCACGACGTCAGAATGATGGCCGCTTCCTGAACAGAACCCTTTACCTCATACTTTTCTGGCGTAACCATCTGGGAGAAAAAGAGAAGAAAAAAAGGAAAAAGAAAGAGGTGTAGACGTAAAAGCGGCATTAAACATGCGGCCTGTTCCTGTTTCTAGACTCTAGCTGTTATTGTTGCTGTTAGGTAAACACGGCTAAAAAAGCATGCAGTGCACAATGTTCACAAATTCTACTTTAGAACACACTCGAAAAAAACTGAGCTGGACGAAAATGTAAAACTCCCGTTTGGGACATTAGTAGAAGACAGTACTGTTAGTTGCTTGGGCAGATGCTCCACAATGCAGCTGAGGAGGCTCTTGGTGGGCTTCTCGGAGCAGAGGAGGACCAGGCTGACATTCTTGTCCCCGCGAAGCAGCAAGCCTTTAGCCAGGACCCCGACCCTCATCACCCCCTTGAGGGCTCTGAACAGTTGGAGAAGGGGAGGTCAGAGTGGACATATGCAAAAGCAACACAGGCTGCAGCCGAGCATCACCCTGAAAGGGTCAGAGCTTCTGGTGGCACTACACGATGAAGGAAAATAATTTTACACAGCACACCTGTCTTTGACCGGTTCTTTCTTCTCTTTGTCCTCTTCGCTGACGTTTTCCTGGTCGGTGATAATGTCGGACACCAGTTTGAGGGCACGTTCCGTGATGGACACAATCTTCTGGATGGAGTGGAGCTCGTCCTCTGAGGGGTAAATGGCCGCATGCTTGGTCATGACATAGCGGTCATCGGAGGAGTCGGGACGCCGTGGAGGCTGAGAAGCACAAACAGGTCAGACAGGTTCAGTCCGTTATTGCTTTTAAAGACATCGCTAAATGAATAAAGCCCTTGTGAATGCAAAGATCCAGAGGCCAGCCCTACCATGGGGCCGTGCGGCTGCAGGCCAGGCATGCCGGGCCGGACTCCCAGCAGACCAGGAGGGCCGGGGGGTCCCTGAGGATACCCCCCGTCGGGCATGCGATGCCGATCATCCCAGTGATGCTGCTCCTCCTCCATCCGTCTCCAGTACATGTCTTCCTCATAACGCCTGCAACACAGGAAGCAGAGCACAGCATCAAGAGTCTCACCTGATAGACACAGTGTCCATGTGGATAGTGTTAGAGCTCTTATACCCCGAATGGGAATAAAGTGGGCTTTTTGGCCTCCTCTTTAGCTTTGATGGCTTAAGACATTACAACTTGTACAAATAACAAAAGAAAAGTGGAGCCGCTGCCCCCTGTGCGCATGTCCTTAAAATAACTCATGAGATTTGGAAAGACTAGTGAGCCTTTGACTCTCCCCCAGCCTTAGCCCTGATAGTGTGTCCAAGGGGTTATGACCCACTGATGTCTAAAGGCCATTGGTGTACCTCATCTCCATTCTCCAGCGCTCCTCCTCCTCTCTTCGTCTCCAGTATTCTTCTTTTTGCATCTGCTTTCTCATCTTCTCCTCCTGAATTTTTCTGGCTCGAATGCTGGGCTTGACCTCCACCTGCAAATCGGGGTTCACCTTTTTCTAAAAAAAGAAAAAAACAAGAAAAAAATTATTGAAAAAGAAAAGTTGGTCAGTCAACGTATGATGGGGTCAGATATGAACTTAACAGTGGCATCGCACATTGGTCTATGCTGAGCTTTAATAACACCACAGACCTATCATCCCCACCCAAAATGAATGCAAAGGATGAGGACGCTCCGTTTCCATAAACATGTACTTGTGTGCTCTAAAACATGAGAATTCTGTGTGGGTATAAGCAGTTAACAGTGCACATGAGCAACCCTTTGGGGATTCTCCAATGACATGAAGACATTGTTGTGAGTGAAATGCATGGAAGTTGCACACTTCAGTATTTAGCTGGCTCCATTTTGCCCCAGTGAGCCTTTGAAGTGTTCACACACAGAGATTTTGCATACGTTTACTTTCAAACTTCCTTCCTGACCAGCGCAATCACATTTTTCCTGCACCAATGTGCTCATCCACCCCAAACAAAAATCTGAGGTTAGCACAGTCACCATTTAAGGATCACTAATGCACTTTTTTTTTATGTTGCATTGATAGTGGAAACATCCTGTTTGGAAGACATCTACTGTAACTTCCATACCACACCACAAATATTAGAGGGAAGTGATTTAAACAGGTAACTTTGCAATGTACATATATCCCTAACAAATGATGGATGATGCCAAAGGTTTCACTGTCCGTAAGCCTGTCCCAACCCCAGACGCTGCCAGTCACTGTGGGACTGCTAAGAGTCTGGACCTCCTCAGTGTTGATACAAACCTTGTACTGTAAGCGATGCCTGCGTCCTTTGAGATGCATCTCCTTTGCGTTTGGGTCATTGAAACTACATTCACATAGCTTACAGTGGAAACGGATGACTTTGCCTTCATCGTTCCTGACCTGGAAAATCAAAGGTTTGTAGATTAGATTAAAAAAAGAAAAAAAAAAGAAATGCCTCTCCAACCCACAAGACACACAAATCCTCTTGGGAAAACATACTTCCTCTACGTAGTCGTGACCAACCGGCTGCACGTCGCTCTGCATTGCAGCCAGGGCTGATGTGGACAGAGGATCAGAAACCTCAGGCTTCTCCTGCGAACTTAGCAAAGGGGCTGCAGGCTTAGAAGTTTCCGCTTTGGCTTCGGCCTTACTCTCTTCCATCTTTGTTGAGGTCTGCAATTTATTTCCACCTAATGAAAAAGAAAAAAAAAACAGGAAATAACCTTTATGTATTTGACTCGCTGTAATCATAATAATAATAATCTGTATTTGTAGAGCACTTGTCAAAAACAAGTCACAAAGTTCTTTAAGAAGTGTAAAGACAATAATACCCAAGAGACAATAACACAAAAACAATACAAGATAAATGCAAATACAACCAAATAAAAGAGATCAAAATAAAGTAAAATAAGATCGGGAAAGGCTCTCCTATAAAAGTATGTTTAAATAAGGCACTTAAAAGAGTTTGCTGACTCAGCAGACCAGATTTCCCCCAGCAGGCTGTTGTAGAGCAACAAACGCTCTGTCCGCTTTATTTTTCAGTCCTGACTCTGGAACAGACAACAGACCTCTGCCGGAGGATCTCAAAGGTGCGTGCTGGTGTATATGGGACTAAAAGGTCCGAAATATAACAAGGCAAGAGGCCGTGAAGAGCTTTAAAAGAGATCAATCAAATTTTAGAGCCAATTCTAAATTCTGTAGTCAGACTATGTCAACTGTAATGTTTCACGGGACAGTAAGGATCTTCATCAGGGATAGATATGATGGTCAAAAATGCTAGTTTGAACCATTTCTTATTCTTTTCACGGACTTCCCAAAGCTCTGGCACCTCAGCATGGACTACTTACCCACAAAATTGATCTTGGGGGCGTTTATCTTCTTGGCAATGGAGGCAGAGCTAGCGGTGGAGAGACTGCTGGCCAGCGGGCTCTTCACCCCCGTCGCTCCACTGCCCACGATGCTAACGGACTTCAGGTAGGAGGTGCCGGCGCTGGTGGCGGGGGAGGAGGTGGTTGAGGGGCAGGCGGAGCTGCTGCTCAGGGTAGCTGTGGTGGTCTTGCTGGGGGCAGTTGTGACGGAGGATGAGGTCTGAGAGGTCATGCTAGGTTCTGTGGAGGGGATGGGCTTTCCCAGTTTAGTGTGCAGCTTCACGACCTGCGAAAATAACAGAAGATATCAGGGGGAAATTCTGTTTCAGGAAGATGGGTTGGATAAATTCAACAAATGGATTTGATTACATAATTACTGCCATCACCTACTGACTTAATGATGCTACTACTCTTAAAAATGCCATTTATCGTAGTTCCATACCCAGAGTGGAGCTGACAGCTACCTGCTGTTCTGAGACTCTCAGTATTCTGTAGCTGAAGGTCTACATCACTAATGTGGGTCTAATTTCTTTCAAATGACACTGCTCTGATGCAACGTGTCCTCAGATATTCTGACTCTAATGGAGGTGGCTCCCATAGATGCCTTGTGCAGATGGTTCTTTCTGGTTCTGACTGATGGAGGTGGCTTCCACAGATGCCTCGTGCATGCTCAGGATGGGGATTGGACCATATTTACTTTACTTACAGGGAACTGTATTTATAGGATCTGTATAAGTTGGACTGATGCAGAGTTGAATGACCTGGAATGGTTGGATAATGGCTGTATAACACCCCAGCGGCGTCCCACTGGCCCCTCACTTCTTACCTTCTGGTGCTTGGCTCCGCGGATGTGGGCAGCATAGGCATCGGCGCCGGTGCACGAGACGTCGCAGAGTTCACAGCGGAGCTGGTTCTGAGCGCTGCGGGCCAGCACGCCTCCCCCCCCGCTGCTGCTGCTGCTGCTCTGCGAGACCTTCAGCGCCGCCTCCTTCTTCTTGTGCTTCTGCCCTTCCAGGTGCTCTTTGTACGTCTGAAAAAACATATGTACATGTATTATGTGAGTTTTTTTTCTCATGAATCCAAAAAAAACTATACATTTGGTTTAATTTCCTTTGGGGATTCATTGACCTTCCCCTAAGAACAAGGCTTAACTCTAATGTCTGTTTAGGAGTGGGGACTAAACTTGCCGCCCACTCGTACCAGAAACACTCATAACCTGGTGCCGAGGGCTTTGTGTTCCACCATCTTAGACCACCATTTAACTCATGTTGCCTGGATAACTTCCTGACAGCACAGTTATGGCCAGTGTCACATATCAGCTGTTGGTGAGGATTTGGATGGGAGGCCCTCAGAGGGCCCCGCTCCATCAGAAGGTGCCAAAGAGCAGAGCTTGTAGTTTACACATCTGCTGACCTTAAAACTTTAAAGGTCTGCCAGCAGGAAAAATAACAGACGTGATCGCATTGAACATGAGAGCTCACGCACTGCTGGACAATGCAAAAGTTAAACCTCACTAAAACAAAAGCAGGAGACTGATGAGAAAGCTGGGGACACATGGCACCCTTCAGTCACCGTCCTACGGCTGGACAGAGGGTCCAGGCCAGCCCCTGGTCCGGACCAGAGGCTGGCAGAGGTTGATTTGATGCATCTGTTGGAGAAGTGGTGGACATCTGGATGTAGGATGAGAAGCGTGATCTGGGGCTCACCTGTGGGCCGGCGCAGCTGATCTTGCAGACGTCGCAGTAGTGTATCTGTGGAGGTTTGGGCGGTTGCTTGGGCCGGAGCGGCTTGCTCTGGAATAGCGGCTTCTTGTTGAAGGAGTTCCCCGTCCAGGCTGCCGTAGCAGCCACGGCCGCCACCGCCTGCTTCTGCTGCTGCTGCTGCTGTTGCTGCTGCTGCTGCTGCTGGTAGTAGTTGGAGGCGGCCGAGTACACTGCTGCCTCGTAGCCGGAGTAAGAAGGGCCTGGAAGGGAGGCCGGACATCCACTTACCGAACTGTCACTAAACAACACGTTTAAAAGGTGCCTGCTGTGAGATCAGCCCTGCAACCTTTAGCTTCTATGCAGCAGGCCCATTAAGACGCAAATCGAATCCCTACAGGATGTTACCACCATTTACAATGCCTAGCATTAGAGAGTTCACACTTACATAGGAGGACAATAGAGATGAGCACATCAGGGTTAAATAAGCATTCAGTACATTCCTGGAGGACAGATGGAGGGGCTGAGGATCGACTTCCAACCTTCCATTTTGGGAATTACCAGATGGGATATAGCTGCTACCAAGAAAAGAAACTAGTTTTTGGTCTGCGCCCTTACCGGAGTAGGTGACAGCATTAGTGCTGTAAGTGGGGCTCTGGGAGTAGGAGGGGACCACAGAGGCGGCGGCGGCCACCGGCTGGACCGTGGAGGTGACGGGGTAGATGGAGAACGTGGAGGAAGCCGGGCTGGGAGCGGCCGGCTTTATCACCGTCACCTGCCGAGTGTGCTGCGTCTGTGTGTAGGACGTCACGCCCTGGCTGTAGCCCGTTTTGGGAGCTGAAACAAACACACAAACCCAAAATTCTGACAGAAGAATTTGTTCCCATGATTCATAGAACACAGCTTTGCTGTGACGTGCCAGAGGTACATGAGCATAGTATACCTACAGACATTTCTATTTGGGGCTGGCGCCTCCTAACAGTTAACAATTTAACCGCCTACCTACCTACCTACTTAGAGCATGTGGGAACACGCAGCAAGAGCAAAAGTGAATTCATTATTTCAGCGATCAGCCTGATACAGGAAGTACCAGCCATCCAATGCTGGGGTTCAGACAGTATATCTTCCAAACAATGTCCTTCATCGAGCTTGAGGTGCATACAAGTGACAAATTCATGTGTTTTTTAGCGTAATTGTCCTCAAATGATGCAGCCATTTCCCCTCTGGCATCGGTAGCCAAAGCGTTAACTGGAATAGTTAACCCTTTTTAGTTTTATTTAAATGTGGTGAAACAAAGAAACTGCTGTCTATTCTTGACCTTTTTTTATGTCTTTCAACAGCTGAAATAGTTTGTATTTATCAATAACATTTCATCAGGTTAAAATGTTAATTTAAGAAAAGTGCTTGGTACAACTGCAAAAGCCTAAAAAGCTATTCATATTTAAGAGGAAGCTTTAAACAGGTAACCATCAAGCCATTTGTATCGGTTTCTGTCAGGCTTTTAGCACATAGAACGATGGAGAGCTGACATATAGACTCACAATTTTTAAGTGATGGAGGTTCTCCATTAGTCTCTACAGAATCTTACTCGGCTTTAAATGCCATGACTCTGTTTTGTCGTTCTTTTTTTTTTCAGGTCTAAACAGAAAATTAGGTCCTAACAGAGAGACAGTCCAAACAAGCCATCGCAGAGACGATTTACCAACCAAACATCTGTGTGGGACCACAGTTAAGTTCAGGTACTAGGCATTTACAAAAAAGATGACTGAAATAATTAATAAATAATCTGTTTGTTGTACCTACGGTTTTAAAAAGGGAAGTAAACATGTAGGAGAGGCTCTCAAATTGTTTGTGAAATGCACAAAAAGCCTTGTGCTGAATAAATACCAGTGGAAACCCCTCCCAAATGAAGACGGAGTGGGCCTGGGCCTAGCTTACCTGTCTGGTAATAGGAATCTGCCACGCTGGGCTGCGACTGGGCGGCTGCGGCGGCGGCCGCAGCAGCTGCTGTAGCAGTGGACTGCTGGTAGTACTGTTTACTGTCATAGGCCACAGCGGGAGCCGTGGACCGCACGTAGGAGTAGGTGTCCTGCAAAGCACAGCAAAAAGCACACCTTCAGTCCCCACTGTTGGTGCCCACTTCCCTGTCTGGATCCAGCTAGAAGGGCTTAACCCCTCAGATAGCTTTAAGTCAGTCTGACATGGCCTTCAGCCTCTTTCAGTGACTTGTAAGCAAACTGTGACTCGTTTTACCTGGTTAATATGTAAAAGAGCTCAGCAGAATCAAATCAGACAGAATTACATTCTATTTATTATTAAGAAATTAGTCAAAGCTATGAACCATTTCACTTTTTGGGTAGAAACTAAACTGAATGTGCAAACATAGCTGTGACAAATACTTAAAAACAGAACATATTTACAAGCAGGGACTGGGCACCAAACCCACTTCCATAGACATAAGAATATCATATTGTAAATTACCTACAATCAAGATAACCAAAATGGAACGCACCATCACACATAACTAGATTACAATGTGTTTCTGGATGCTGCACACGTTTGGGATGAATCCAATTCAAATTAAGAGCTGAATTTATTGCTGTAACTTGGCTTGGAAACAAAAAATTAGAAGTGGGTAACCCTTTCTCTGTGTGTATATATTCATTTTTATTTTGTCCCTCATGTGTAACACATTTCATAATTAAAGAAGGTAAATACAAGTTCAAATGACTCTTTGAAAGCATTAATAAGTACTTGGGATATTCGAGAACTCAGGACATTAATCCTCCGACCATTTAAAACTGAGAAACAGATTATAGATTTTTGGAAAAATATCCAAAGGGGAAATAAACCAGGTTTTCGGTATAGGTTTAGCATTAGATCCAACACTCTACATACCGGGTATAGCCCCAGAGGATGTTGTAGATAGGAATTTAACATCATTACTAAGAACCCTGCTTTTAATAGCAAAGAAAACAATAAGTGGTAGAAACCACAGCCATCCAGTCTAAGTGGATGGAAAGAGAGGGTAAGAAGTGCGTTCCTCGTGGAGAAAATTACACCAAAGCTACAGCTCAAGACAGACATGTTTAAAAAATGGTTACCAGTCACAGACAATGCTGGCACTTTAACCCCCCCTCATTTGTAAATTCTAATTTTGTATTTATTTATTTTATATTTTTCCTGCTTAATTTGTCATTCTTAAACTTAATGCTGCGCAGTTTACGTTGAACGTGTGTATACTAAGTTACATATGGTTTATGTTCCAGGACAAAGTTAGTTTGTCTGTTAGTTCAGTCAGAACAGGACAGAACGGTAATAGCATTTTCTAGTGTGTGTTGACTGTATGTATATTGATTTATTACATGTGAAATAAATGAAGAATTATCTTTTTTTAACTGAGAAACAAAGCGGATGAGGGAAGATGAGGGAGATGAGGGAAAGTACCTGGTAGTTCTGGGAGGTGACTGGAGGTGGTGGGGGGGGGATCTCGGCCTGCCGCTGTGGGTAGCCGTAGTCGGTGGTGGGGTGCGTGGGCTGGTATCCTCCGTAGGCGGCGGCGGTCGCGGCTGCCACGGCGACGGGCGCGGGCCGAGCCACAGCCACCGTGGCCGCCGTGGGCGCGTAGGCCGCCGCCACCGTGTGCGCCGCCACGGGCGCCTGGTGAACGGTGTAGCTGGCCACCGTGGTGGGGTGCGTGTAGGCCAGCCCGGCACCTGGCTGCTGGCTGGGGGGGGGCACACGGAGAGCAAACATCAGCAAGACAGCGTAAGGCAGGTATCTCTGGAGGTCCACTGGGAGCTCTGAAATGCTCCCGTTTACAAAGAATGCCGGGTTTTTCTCTCTCTTATAACACAGACCGACGTTTGTACATTATACGAATTACAGTGAATTCTGATGGGAATATTTGAACCAACATACGAATATTTTAACATACTAATTAAATTCGCATGTAGAGGTTCTACTGCTTTTTTTGTTCTATAACCTGTCAGAACCAGTCGACACTCGTCCACAGAGCCAGATTCATATATCTGAAACCCCGCTACATCCCATGCAGTTTGGCTTCAGGTTAAACCACACATCCAAATCTGGAAAAGGAGGTGTGGTGGGAACCCTGTTTTCAGTTTCATGCAAAGCCTTTCGTACGGTGAATCACCTCACTCTCCTTCCAGAGATAAAAAAGGTACAAACTGTCCATTGGAAAACATAACATGTTTTAGGATGCTCCCTGAGTTTGTTTAGGTGTATAAGGACCTTAAAATTAATACGTATGAAGATGATAGTTGTTCATACACATGAGAAAGATGCTAATGGAATGGCTGTACACTTAAGAAGAAACTTTAGAAGTGACTCAATGAATCACCTCTAAGTCTGAGCACCAAGAAACAGCTGATATGTATTTCACAAACAGGAAAAAGTATGGATGGGTTCATAGAAAAGAACAAACTTCCATGCTCAGCTTTATAAAAAGCTGAGCAAAAACAGACAATCGACAACTTTTTGCATTTCAGATAAATCACAAACTCCTATATCACTCCCGCCAACTGGAGGCATGTAAAACCTTTTAAAAGACGACTATTCTGACACCTTTTCCCAGTGCATCTCATCCTGGTCACATAAAATAACTCTGTCAGTCACCTGAACTACCTGGAGGGGACACAACAGCTACAGTATAAGGCGAAAAGAACAAACAAAGGAAACGGCACAAATCAGTCTTCTCCAAAGAACCTAAAGAATCTAAAGTGACCTCTTTACTTATTCTTACTGCATTTTTATCTTAGTTTTTCTGCACCTTTGTAGCGTTTGCAATGAGTTTTCCCTTTTTACTGAGCATCCGTGGTAAGGCGCTTCATGTAACCTTTACTAATCGTTTTAGTTTTTTTAAATCGATGAATCATTTTCACTGTGTCTTTCTTTTTTTAAGTAGAAAGCTAACATTTCTACTGAACTCTGTTTAATGTATTAAGTTTTTTTTTAAAGTGACATTCAGTTGGCATCGTTTTAACCAACCAATCGCAACTGTGAATAATAAGAAACTCCGTCACAGCCAATATGCAGCTACCGGATCACCAGATCACACTGGAAAAAACATTTAACTCTCCTAAAGCAGAAATAGTCCAGTCCATCCTGATATCTGAAATCTTCAGCTCACAGAAAACGTTTGGCTCCTGCTGAATTCAAATGCCCGCAACCCCATTAGGTAATAAGCGGTTAGGATAATGGATGAATTCAAATACATCCATTCAATCTAAAGGCCAGTTAATGAGCCTAAAAAGAGCTGATCGCTTGTAGCCTTTACAGGGCTGCAGACCAGGTTCTGTGCACGCATCCATTCTGCAGAGCAGCTCATCACACGTGGGTATTTGGATGAACTCCAAGGAGAAATACCAGACATTTCCGTTGAAATAAGAAACTGCTACCGAAAATCAGCCAGTTCGTTTGACTCCTATAAAACCTCTGCCTGATGGGAGCTGCATCAGAGGCCGACATCACCCATAACAAGCCTGAAATGGACCCCAGTGCAGAGATCTGAGCTCAGGCACCACAGAGGAGGCTGGAAGCAGCACCATGTCCTGGACGCTCCTTTTTAAGGCATTTTGCATCGTCTGCTGGTCCAGTTTTCAGAAGCTGCATTTCACACAGCTCAAACCGCCTTTCACAATTTGAACATGTGTTCTTTGTCTGATCAAAACACAAAAGGTTGTGTTGCATTTGTCATATTTTTGTGATTATGTGTCACGGTCGGTTGTGTTTGGGGTGGAATGAGCAGCTTCCAGCCCCACAGGGCAGGCGGTGGTCTCAGATGTCTGGACGTGTGCACCGAGCTCCCACCGACCGGACAACCGGCTGACCACACGGCCTTGCGTTGGGCGTCCGGAGGCCTAACGGCCGACATTATGTCCTCTGGCTCATTGCGTCCCCTCCAGCGTCCATTACCGCGGCGCGAACGTCAGCGCGAGCCCAGGCACGGACCCTGATGCGGGAGCCGAGGGGACAACGGCCCCCCTCCCCCAGCCTGCGGCCCCGTCCCTTTCCCCGCAGAAACCACCACCCCAAACAGCGTATATAAATATTTCAGTCGTTATTAGTGTAGTATACGGAACATATACGCTTCTGTTACCTGTATTGGGCGGCGGCTCCATGGGTAAATCCAAAGTAATTGCCGGTAGCCATTTTGGCATCTTCACCAAGCCGGCTGGGCACTGCGGAGGACAGACATAGAGGATAATGCTAGGCTAGCTGTTAGCTCACGGGAAAGGTTCAAGGACTACCCGCTAGCGTAAGAACTGATGCTGCACACACGCTACAGCCCAAAGTCAACATTTAGCGCCCAGTTAAACCACCTCTGCCCCGTTAACGATACTCACCATAGGTGAAGGAGACTACTGGACATATGGGAATCATTGGTTTCTAACGTTCTGTCGATGCCTGAATAATACTCTAAGCTATGTGTCTATTACATGTCGTACGCGGAAGTACTCGGTGTGCGCATGCGCCAAAGCGTGTAAAGTAAAGCAAGGCAAGGCGTGGTTATTTGGCCACAGGCTGACCCAGACTTTTAGTTAATTTTTAATTTTTTGTTTACCAACTATGTGGAATATAGCAGCATAGAACAGAACAAAGTAACAGAACAGAGCTCATAAACCCCCCAATGAGTTGCCCCTCACTGAGTGGCAACCAGCAGGCACAGTCCAGTCAGTTTCCCCAAATCCTCCTCAAAGACAGATATTCAAATAACCATAACTTATTATTCACAGTTGCAATTGGTTGGTTAAAATTATGGTTATCTGAAATTAGCCACTAGAATTTATGACGATTGTTCACTGTGCATTTCTTGGTTTAAACGCAAAACAAAAATATTAACAAAGCATCTTGAATATTACCATTTACAATCCCTGGTCATCAAGGGGAACAAACTGTGACTAAATTAGCAGAATAGACATTAAAGACAAATCAGAGCTGTTATCATAAAATAAAAACTAATTTCAAGGGGATCACATACAGTTGAAAATAATCGGGGCTCCAATCCAGTCCTAAAAGAAGCAAACTAGACCCTCACTCAGTGTTTACTCAAACTTCCCATTTGCTCAGAGACACAGTTTAGCAATTTGAACAAATTGACACTTATCTACCAAGTAGGACTTCAACTAGTTTAAAGCTGTACCAGTAACCAGCAGAACTAAGACCAAGACTTTGCCTGAGTACAGGCAGCTATCACTTGTCATCTTGATGTGCGAGGACCTCACAGGATGAACTAGGGCCCTCATAGTTCCACAGTACTGAAAGTCATTTATTTAAAAAAAAACTACTTAACCAAAGTCCACATCAAGCTTCCTCTCTTACACAAACCTTTTTCTGAAAAATAATCTATGGCTCAAAAAGAAAACACACAAAAAAATCTAAAAATCATCACAATCCAAAGCAGACTCCATTCACAGGTGGATCAAACTTGTGGAAAGTAACCTAATATTTGGACTTTGTGTTTGGGTCTGTTGTTTGGAAGCAACATTTTCTATTGGGTTGAGGTCTGGAGACCGGCTGGACCATCCAGGACCTTAAAATGCCTTTAACAAAGCCCTACCCTAACCCGAGTGGTGTGTTTGGGATCATTGTCATTCCGGAAGAATCAGCCATGTGCCATCTTTAATGTATCCCCGATGGGAGGTTCTGTCTTAAAATCTCCCATACATATCCCCATTCATGCTTCCTTGACACAGATCAGTCATCCTGTTCCCTTTGAAGAAAAACAGCCCCAAAGCATGACGTTTCCCCCCCTTATGCAACACAGTAGGTCTGGTGTTTTTGGGATGCAACTCAGCATTCTTCTTCCTCCAAACACAACTTGAGTTTTTACCAAAAGTTCTGTTTTGGTTTCATCCGACCACATTATATTCTCCCAACCCTTCTCTGGATCTTTCTTCCATTTTTTTTTTTATAATTCCTCCCAAATTTGATTTATTTATAGCAATATGCTTTACTATTGTAGATTCTTTCTTCCCAGACTGGTGCCAATCTACAGTACAGTTTTCCTCCTGGTGTCCATGTTCAGCTAGCTGCTCTGGGCCATGGTTGAGTTGGAGTTTGTGGACAGGTGTCTTTTATTCAGATAACGAGGTCAAACAGGTGCCATTAATACAGATAACGAGCGGAGGACAGAAGAGCTTCTTAAAGAAGAATTTACACATCTATTAGAGCCAGAAATCCTGCTCGTTTCTGGGTGATCAGGTAGTTATTTTCCCACCCTAATTTACGAATAAATTCTTTTAAAAATCCTCAAATGGGATTCCCTGGATTAGTCTTTCTCGTTTAGCTTCTCACAGTGGAAGTGTACAGAACTACAGACCTGTCATCTTTTTGAGTAGAATAATGTGCACAATCAGTGGCTGAATAAATACTTTTTTCCCCAATGTACCACCTCCCCCCCCCAAAAAAATGTAATAGTTCTTAATAAACAGGGACAATATTTACACAATATTTTTATTGGATGTTTAAAACGCCAAATGCGTATTTCGGCCACCAGGGGGCAGCAATGCGCTACAGTGGAGCCACAACGACGGAAGAAGAAGAAGGTTTCCCGGCTTGCATTGCAGCTGTTGTGTCCGACATTACCGAACAGAGCATGTCGACTGTGTCCGGGTAGAGCGGCTTCCGTAGGTCAGCGGTATTCAGAAGTCCCTACGCGCTCCGTGCGGTCTCCTCCAGGATGAGCCTGAAGACGATCCTCTCCTCCACCGCGCTGATCGGCGCCCTGGGGCTGGGCTACGGCATGTGGTCGGTCATATCTCCGGGCGAAGAGAGGCGGAGAGAGATGATGAAGGTGATTCCGCGTTGAGAAGTGCTCCCTCCCGGGTTCTTAATGTCATACAAGCCAGGCTTGCAATTTTTTTTTATGGCTGTGGCGCTTGTGACAGCTCTGGTTCCATCACATGACCCAGTGGGCACGATCCCGAGGTCTGTCCTGAGGCTGCAGTGGGGGGATGGATGCATGGGGCTGGATGCATGGGTTTGGATTCATGGGGCTGGGTGCAGAAGTCTGCAGCAGGGCACTGTTTTCATGGGTCACTCTGGATGTAGGGGACTGGATGGATGGGTGGTCTAGAAACAGGGGGCTGGATGTAGGGGACTGGACTCATGGGTCTAGAAGCAGGGGGTTGGATTCATGGGCTGGAAGTAGGAAGCTGGATGCAGGAGTCTGTAGCAGGGCACTGGTTTCATGGGTCTGGATGTAGGGGACTGGATACATGGGTCTAGAAACAGGGGGCTGGATGCTGGAGGCTGGAAGCATGAGGCTGGAAGCATGAGGCTGGATTCATGGGGCTGGATGTAAGGGACTGGATTCATGGGCTGGAAGTAGGAAGCTGAATGCAGGGGGCTGGATGCTGGAGGCTGGAAGCATGAGGCTGGATTCATGGGGCTGGATGTAAGGGACTGGATTCATGGGCTGGAAGTAGGAAGCTGAATGCAGGGGGCTGGATTAGCTTAGGGAAGGGACCCCGATATGCTGCAGGTGTGTTCCCAGAACTGTTATTCTCTCTCTAAAGCAGACAAAAGCTGCATTGAAAGTAGATTTATATCCTGTTTGAGGCCTTTTACAGTGCTATACACCGGCATCTTTTGTGATCGGGAGAGTCTGTGATGCTGCACACTGCCTTTTGGAAGAGAAACCAGCAGGTCCAGGTTTTCATTGGGTATTTCGGTATGTAAAAGTAAAGAGGAGTGTCAGTCTGTTCCAGTTTGACCTGGAGGGAGTCCAAAAGCTTTCTCTGTCGTTGTCTCTGTCGTGAAGCCTTACATGTCCGCTGGATCCCACTCAGGGAGGGTTCTCAGTGGGGTTTGTTGGCCTCAAAGTGTGGCTCATGTCCACCAACAGCAGATCGCTGCTGGGATGAGTTGATGAGCTGAAAACTGTAATGGTTCTCTAAGCTTTAAAGGCCTACAGCCGTCCCAAAATAGTTCAATAAAAAGAATATTTACAATATAAACATGGGCAAAAATGGGGAGATGGAGTTCTAAGGAGTATCTACCTTTCAAAAGAAAGGTGAAAAGTACAGTGTTTAGTATATATATATATATATATATATATTTGCACATTGTGGGGTGGAGTACTGCATATAATATGGTGTTGCACAACAGATAATGTTTAACAGAGTTTAGTACTGATTGAGGAGATCCTGCCATTGGGATGTTTGGACATTGAATCAATGCACAGGGGAGAGTCCAGGGTGTTTTTCTTTTTTTGGGGGGAAGAAGCTGTTTTTGGCCCTTCTTTTGACAAGGTTCTACCACCACATGTGGTAGAACATTGGGGATGAGTGGCATCCTCATTTAGGATGGAGATGTAGTAATCAATATTTCCTTAGTATGAAACTGTTGAGCCACTTCTTTTGGTCACACATGTATTTTTCAGAACAGGAGCCACGTTGTTAAAAACTGTCAGGTTCAGTATTCAGGTTCAGAAGAGCAGTCATGTTGGTAATTAAATGAACCTGTCTGAATCCAAAAGTCACAATCCCAAAATAGAGAGTGACGTCTTTGTATAATGTTTCCATAACCCAGTTTTGTGCCAATGCAATTCTTGCAAATGCACCAGATGGGAATGTGTCCCAGTGTCTCCAACAACTTGGTTGGTTGTTGCTCTCAGTAGGTATCCCCTACAAGTTTGACTCGAGAAAACAAGAGAAAGCGATTTATAGTCTCCAAAGTAACTTCCAGAGGTTGATCTTTAAACATCTAGCAGAAACTAGGACGGTGATTCAAACCGTTTTTACCGTCATCCTCATGTTTCCATCATTCCATTTCAGACCTATTACAGTTGGATTTGTAACGATCAGAATAATCTGTGGTTATTTATTTTATTCTTCTTTATTTTTGCTGATATTTGTTTGTTGTTCTCAGTCCGTTTTTGTTATTGAAGGCTAAAGAAATCTGCTGTACTCGTCTCTGCCCTGCCTTTTCCACGTATCTCCAGGTCTAATCTAAGTTGGAAAGTTCGGACTGTAGTCCTGTATCAGACCCTAAAGACACGTCTGCGTTCTTAGGCATTCCGTTTACTGTCATGCAAAGTTTTGAGTCAATAAAATGGGTCCTTTTGTCCAGCACCTTGAATGTATTTGTGCTTCTTTAATAATGCCTTCCTGTTTAAAGCTGATATTTGAAATGTGCTCTTGCTTGACTGACCCACCAGAATCTCCCCGAATCCAACCCCATGAGAATGGAGGAGACGAGGCAGAGGAACGCTATGGTGATGCAGGTGCTAAAGGAGGCGGCTGAAACCACGGACAATCTCGCCAGAGGAGCTAGTGGACCTTCAAGATAGACGCAGCCCACCCCGTTATCTCTGACCAGTCCTGTTGTTGTGCGCTCCTTCACACAAACGTGTCCATTTCTCACTGTACAATGTGTACCTCCAAACTTCTATTGCCTTTAGGTTAATTAAAACTATCCAAAAAGAAAGCATTGTCAGTCTGGAGGATTGTGATAAGAGGGGCGATATGTGTTCACATGTGCTTTTATTTATGAGCATAGATCACACACATTGTGGATAGAGTTGGTTTCATGGATGTTTGTCCTTTTCCACGTGTGGTAGATTGTCCATACTTATTCATATTCATTCCAGTTTTTGCACGGATAAGATATAAATATTCTAAATAAAAAGATGAGAAGAAGAATGGATTTAAAAAGCAGTTACACACTGAATGAAAATATTAAAGGTTTTGGAAAATATATACATAATGCATTTAATTTCTGTCATTTAATCCTCTAAGTTGCCCATACTGCTTTTATTCGTTTCCACTTATACTTTATTAGCTTTGAAATGTTACTGATCTGCCAAAAACATTCATGCAAAGAATGGATGGAATATTTTATAGTGCGACCAACCCAGGAATTGCCAAAGTTTTTTAAACTAATACAAGCAGAGACTTTAATGATATAAACACTTAAAACAACGTCAACAAAATAACATGACTCCTGAGAGGCAGAATATTTCTGCAATCTTTAAATTCAATCCCACCCCTCTCATATTATTTTCTAACCACCACACTATGGCGAAATCCTGGATATGTTTCAGTTAGAATAAAATGCTTTCCGTGTAACTCCAGTGACAAGTTACGATTTTCTTTCATCTTCAGATATAGCAATAGAAAGAAGTTTAGCCTGTTGGAGCCAAACAAACCATATAAAAGAAGAATCAATTCAGACCAGAGTCTGAATGATTGTATTCATTAGATGTAATTCGCATTTGAAAGATTTAGCTACCAGTGACAGTAAACACTAGATAAGCTTTAAAAGCTTAAAACTACAGTGGGGAGAAAAAAAAGTATTTAGTCAGACACTGATTGTGCAGGTTTTCCTACGTACACTTTCACTATGAGGGGCAGAATGAGAAAGCATTTCAAAAAGCATTTCAAGGTCCTGGATTGGCCTAGCTAGTCTCCAGACCTCAACCCCATAGAAATTATTTCTCAACAAAACTTTTAAAACAAACAATTTTACACTGGTGGGTCTGGGACCCAGAGAGTTCATTGGTTCTCCATCTTTCTGTGGATTTGTGGTTGATATCCAGGCCATTGTCCCTCCTTCTTGCGTGGTGAAAGAAGAAAGGAATCTGCAAACCAGGTTTCAATGGATAAATGAACACAAAGTAAACCATAGTTCACTTTTGGAAGCCACTTTATTGTTTAAACACATCCTCCGATGAGTACATCTCATGAATGTGAACACACACACACTTGTGATCATACTGACAATGCTCTTGGTTGAGAGGAAGTTTACTATTTAGGAGACTCACAACACAACCAATGACGGCTTTATGGTCCAACACAGGAAAACACAGGCCTACTGATTCATTACAGGACTGAAAATAGACTGTGAGGAACACTGCTCAGTACTGAAACAATGCACAAGAAACTATTACAACTACAACTTATTGTTTCCATGGAGATGCTCGAGTAATAGTTTTACGTACCATCAGTGTGAATTTTTATGTTGGCATTTTCATGATCACACAGATGAATGTAAAACTGATCATTTGAACAGTTTGCAGCTTTAAAAACACTATGTAAAAACTGATTTTATGCTAGCTAAATGAAAGCAGAAACTCTATGGGGAGATGTTACAATAAAGGTTAGTTCACTTGCAATTCTATGAAAATGAGTTTTGTTCCCTGAATTTCATCCAGCCATCTAAACTAATCCACACACATTTCATTTAATAAATAAACTCAAATCCCTCTATAAATATAGCAAACAACATTCAACCCAACTCCATATGATTGCATTTAACTTTGATCAATATTAACACACTCATAAAACTCAACAATGGTGATTTAAAACACAGCATGACTTAAAAGCAGCTGAATATTAAACAGTTCTGAGTATCTATTCGATGCATCATGGTTAGGGGGCATGGGAGTCATGACCTGGTGTCATAAAGGAAGAAGAAGGATAGATAAAGGAACATCTTAACTGGTCTGCTCTTCTTTCTCCAAGTCTTTCAGGGCTTTTAGAAGGCGAGTTGGGGTGAAGATTTCAGTTGATCCTTGGAAACATAAGAGAAAATAGGATTACATCCCTCTATAATAGCAGTTACTTTCGGGGATTAGATGGATCTGATGTGTGTATGTTATACCAGTTCGGTTTCTCTTCTCAACCTGTAATATTTGCAACAATAACCACGATGGATTGCCAAATACAGTTCATTTCCAGC